TCTTACAGAGATTTTGGAACAGAAAAAATTTGAGTGAGGAAATTTAGGTCAGGTTATCATTTTAGTTGTGTTATGCGAATGTTATAGGGCTAAGTATCTAGCAGTTGTCAAAATCTACTCTAAATTCAAGGTTTCCTGAAGACTACCTCTAGCTACTTGATATCTTAATGGAGCAAATGAGACGGTAAGCCACGTAAACTAGCGTGATCAAATTGCAATTCGATCGGTCGTAATCGATCAGCACTGAGATTAAACAAACGTGAAACTAGTCAATATTCAATGATAAATTAACACAAGTAACTACATTACAACTAAAACATTTGGATAATAGTGTGAACATACACAATATACGTTCACGAACTTCATTCTCAATCACTATATATATATATATATATATATATATATATATAAATGAATACATTATTTGACTTGAAAAATGTACCGTAAGTACATTTGAATAACGTTACTTAGCCCGTTTTGTTTATACCAAATAAAATTGTAAATTAATGTCATTTAAAGTGTAATTAAATACTTTTTTGAGAAAGGTTATACTTATAACATCGAGATGATTTTCGGAAAAACAATTTTTTTAAAAAAAACTATGACCTCATTCAACTCGTTAGATTAATTGATTAAGCTTTTCAGAGAGAAAAAATACTTCGGGTTACACATAATATTCGGAAATACTACTATTAATACTACTGATAGATTTATTTGATATATTTTTCGAACAAAAATACTAATAACATCTGTAATTATTATGTGCATATAGAATTTTATCCTTGCTCATTATTTGAAACGGTAGAACTGAAGTAATTATTATTAATCTATGAAATAAGAATAAATAGTAATAATAAATGCAACTATTGGATTGCTTAATGTTAACAATACACCAATGAACGCTTCCATTAAATAGGTAAATCTTTAGTGGATTAAATATATCTGAGACAATAAACTGAGTAGTTGGAATATCATAAATAAATAAGATATATTACGATTAACAATTTCTACTGTAGTAGGGTTAGTGGAAATTGTAGTGTTTTAATTAATTTGTATCATTTTACCTAAACCACCATTGAAAAATTGAGAGAACTGGACTGCCTATTCGTCCTAGACTGGGACGCCTATACAGTATGCATCCGGGAGCTGAACTCAGGGCCTCTGGTTTCGTGCACAAACACTTATCTTATAGACCACAAAGTTGAAATTCGACAATGTCAATGTCCAGCTTCAACCGATTTACAACATCGCCCAACCGCTACCCATTGCTTGTGATGGATAACGGTTTCATATCCAGCATGGTTGGTTCAACTCTGCCTGGAGTCCCTCCGGGGGCTACTACCGGTCCCAAGCCCGGGTAAAGAAGGAGGGTTGAGCATGGGGTTAGCGTCCCCATCTCGTAGAAAACTAACTTGCTAAAAAAACGCTAACCAGAAAAAATTATTCAAACCTTTTAAACTCTGCCCGGGGAGTCAGAAGGTCTTCATTTAGAAGGACTATGACGCCTCATGATGGAAGCCGAATTCCTTCGGAAGTTAGGAGGCCGATGCCCCTTCTGACAACCAGAGCGACCATTTATTTAGGTACATGGAACACTCGTGCAATGTGGGACACCAGGAGAGTCTTTCAAATTGCTGCAGAAATGAGGAGATACAACCTAGAGATGCTTGGGATCAATGAAACACAGTGGACGTAGGTTGGACAACAAACACTAGCTTCAAGGCAGCTTCTGTTATACTCCGGCCATGATGAAGAAAATGCCCCATATACACAAGGAGTTGCATTGATGCTGTCCAAACAAGCACAGGCACTTATAGGATGGGAATCTCATGGAACAAGAATCATCAAAGCCTCCTTCAAAACAAAGAAAGAGGGCATTTCAATGAACGTCATCCAATGATATGCGCCTACCAACGACTACAATGAAGACGCTAAAGATCAATTCTACAATAGGCTGCAGTCAATCGTCGAGAAGTGCCAAACAAAGGACCTGACCATTCTGATGGGAGGTTTCAATGTCAAGGTTGGAATGGACAACACCGGATATGAAGACATCATGGGACGATATGGACTGGGAGAAAGGAACGAAAATGGTGAGAGATTTGCAAACCTATGTGCCTTCAATAAACTGGTCATAGGGGGCACCATATTCCCACATAAACGCATACACAAAACCACATGGACTTCACCGGATCACACCACGCAAAACCAAATCGACCATATTTGCATCAACAAAACGTTCAGGAGGACTATAGAGGACGTGAGAACCAAGAGAGGAGCTGATATAGCATCAGATCATCACTTGCTGGTCTCCAAGATGAAATTGAAGCTCAAGGAGCTTACTCTCACCCTTTCTCTTTCTCCTGGTGATCGACTGGATCATGAAGACGTCAAAATCTGAGGGGAAGCACGGGATACAATGGACATCTAGGATGCAGTTGGACGATCTAGACTTCGCAGATGATCTGGCCCTTCTATTCCAAACGCAACAACAAATGCAGGAGAAGACGAACAGTGTAGCAACAGCCTCAGCAGCAGTAGGTCTCAATATACACAAAGGGAAGAGCAAGGTTCTCCGATACAACACAGCATGTACCGATCCAATCACAATTGACGGAGAAGATTTGGAAGATGTAAAAACCTTTACATATCTAGGCAGTATCATTGGTGAACATAGTGGATCTGATGCAGATCTGAGGGCGCGGATCGGCAAAGCAAGATCAGCATATTTACAACTGAGGAACACCTGCAATTCAAAGCAACTGTCAACCAACACCAAGGTCAGGATTTTCAATACAAATGTCCAGACAGTTCTACTGTATGGGGCAGAAACCTGGAGAACTACGAAAGCCATCATCCAGAAGATACAGGTGTTTATTAACAATTGTCTACGCAAAATACTTCAGATCCGTTGGCCGGACACTATTAGCAACAACGTACTGTGGGAGAGAACAAACCAGATCACAGTGAAGGAAGAAATCAGAAAGAAGCGCTGGAAGTGGATAGGACACACATCGAGGAAAGCACCCAACTGCGTCACAAGGCAAGTCCTCACATGGAGTCCTGAAAGCGAAAGGAGGAGAGCAAGACCAAAGAACACATTACGCCGAGAAATGGAGACAGACACAAGAAAAACGAACAAGAACTGGATGGAACTAGAAAAGAAGGCCCAGGACAGAGTGGGTTTGAGAATGCTGGTCGGCGGCCTATGCTCCATTGGAAGTAACAGGCGTAAGTAAGTAAGTAAGTAATGGTTGGATTTCACTGGTCATCTTTTTTTATTGGACCTCCATGAGTTGCTTCTTGAAGCTAGTTAATAGTGAGACAGTTACCTACTGCAAATGATGAATGAGAATTGCGCAATATCGTGAATCGTTAATATAGTTGGGTATGGGCTAAGTGGTCTAGGAGTTTAGCGTTCGCACACGAAGACTGCGTCCGACTCCTGGGTGTGGATCATTGAACTACAATGCTGAGGAGTTTCACACTAGAACGAAACAGTCACTCAGTGTTTTTAGGTTTTCAATGGTGATTTAGGTAAGATCGGTCCACGGTTTAAACTGCGAAAATTAATCGTTTAATCAATGAATAAACATAAGAACTTAATATCAACTTTTCATATTCTTTCCTAAGATATATTATTGTTGGATTTGCTTTCAATGCTCTGACCATCAGTAATCACCAGTAACCACCAATAAAAACAAAGCGGAAAAGGGAGAAGAAGAAGAAGAAGAAACAGTCTAATACCTACATCATAAAAGTTCAGTGTTAATAGATTATATTGGTGTGTCAAAATCAAAATAAGATATTTGTTTGACACTAATGATAAATATTAACGTGTTGCTTAAGGCGAAAAGTATCAAAAAGATATCGTTTGTTGCAAAACATACTTGGCATGTGAGATATAATTTATGGAAATTAATACGAGTAGCTGATGAAGAACAAATAACTCATTATGACCAGTTTTATTATTAATTAATTAGTCAGTAGATGGAAATCACTATAACGAAGAGTAAAGCTTTTCGTATATGTACCATTTTTTGTTCCGAGATAAAGAATGGGGCAATCCTGGAGACTAAGAAGTGGTTTGAAAATCAGTGCTTAAGCGTTTACTTAAGATATGTATCGCGGTACAGAATCAAGTACTCGGTTATGATCAACATTTTGTATGGCAGCTTGTATTACAACTTGACTATATAAACCGAATCACATGCTTTAGAGTTTGAACTTACAACCTAATAGATGGAAATCAGTTGCTTTAACTACAAACCCATCACTCAACTGGCATATATATATATATATATATATATATATATCTTTTAAGAGAGAAATATATTATTATACTAGTTTTCAGAAAAATGAGACGCCATCCAGGCTCCTTACAATCTAAGTAGTACATCTTCGTCTCGCAGGTATTTAACAAGTTATTTGGCTTAGTTGGAAATATATATAACAGTTTGAATTTTCCTATAATACGCATTCAATTAATAAGTGGTTGTTTTATAATACTAGGAACTTAAAAACCAATTAGGCAGTTTATGTGTTGAGCCATCTCATTCATCTTGGCATTTTACCAAGTCAAATTTGTCTTCCTAAAGAAAGTTAAATATACAATAAGAGTATGAAGTGAGTTATTGAGATTTACAAATTTCACTTCAAAAGAATGATTCATAATAATAAAAAAGACAGTTGAATAGGGACACCAACACAAACTCAATTACTAGGTGCTAATCTGATGTTGTGTAATTTACAAGCATAATATGATGTAAAATTAATATAACCATTCGAATATTGATTCCAATACGAATGGTTTGGTTAGGATAATAATACAGAGAGAGGAACTCAGAAAACAACAACAAAATCCTCACTAGTACGTTACGTTCTGATGAGAGAAAATAATCTCAGAAAATAAAAACCGAAATGAATGTGAAGAATTGTTATCCAATGGAAATACGAATCTTAAATATATAACAATAGAAATCTAATAATACGAAACTTACTTTCTGTGAAAGTTTCTCGGATTTCTGCGTCAGCTGAAATATATATATACGATTAAAATCTATGGATTAATATCTTAAATAACGATTATTTGCTTATTTATTATGATGACTTACGAAACAATAGCGGTAACAATGACATTAATCGCTACTCACTCAGTGATCAATTAATGTTAATGCCTCAATCCAAAAGAGATAGGTCGCGACACGAATAACTATGTGATAATTTAAACGATTTCAACTCAATCCTCCAAATTCAAGCATCTTCATTCAGAAGAATTATGCCAACTCATGGTGAATGCCCAGATTTTTCTGAAGCCACGAGGCCGATGCCCTTTATAACAACCACAGAAACAATCAAAATAGGTATATGAAATGTCCATACAATGTGGGAGACCGAGAGAACCATTCAAAGAAATGCGGAAACGAAGAGATACAACTTGACCGTGTTCGGAATCAGTGGGACACAGTGGACTCAAACTGAACTGTAAAAGGTTAGATTCGAGAGTGATGCTGCTGAGCTCTGATCATGAGGAAGAAAATGATTTGCACATTCAGGGCGTTGCTCATAAGATATCCAAAGAAGCACGTAAAGCACTATTAGGATGGAAATTTCGATAGATCCGAAATCACCAAAGCATACTTCAAAACAAAGAAAGAGGGAATCACAATGGAATTTATCCAATGTTATGCCCCCAGCGATGATAGCAACGAAGACGATAAAAATCAGTTTTACGAGAGACTGTAATTGATCATAATGAAGAGTCCAGGAAGATACCTGACCATCCTGATGAGAGACCTAAGCGTCAAAGTTGGAATGGACACCATCGAGTATGAAGATATACTGGGACGACATTGACTGACTGAGAAAAAGAAACGAGAATGGTGACAGATTTGCAAATTTATGTGCATTCAACAAAATGGTTACAGGAGGCACAATATTACCACACAAACACATACACAAAGCTGCATTGGCCTCACCGGATCACATTACACAAAACCAGATCGATCATATTTGCTTCGGTAAGAAGTTCAGAAGGTCACTTGAAGACATAAGAACTAGAAGAGGAGCTGACATATCTTCAGATCACCATATACCTGGTGGTTGCTAAGAAGAAACTTAAGCCAAAGAAACACTGGACAACTAAAGAAAAAGTATCACAAAGGCTCAATACAGCCTTTCTTCGAAATATAAACTCAAGGAATGCAAGATAACTTTCAACAACAGGTTCCAAGCCATACAGGATCTATGCAAAGAAGAGAAAACTACTATGAAGTAGAACAAAGAAGTCCTAGCTTAAACGCGTTAGGAGGTTCTGGGCCACAAGAAGCACCATCATAAGGAATAGATCTCCAACGAAACTCTGGAAAAGTTTTAAGAAACGAAGAGCAAAAAGACAGCAACTGACAACGAATAAGAACAGAAAGCTAATTACACAGAAGCAAACGAACAAATGAAGAGGAGCATTAGAGCTGGCTTCCATCTGAGGAGGAAATTAAGAAAAGAAGTTGAAAGTGTAAAGGATATACATTTTGTAAATCACCAAACTGAATCACGAGGCACATGGAATGAAAAGGAAGAAGATCAAATAACACACTGGAAGCAGACATCGAAAGGATTTTCCAGGACAGAGTTGGATAGAGAATGCTGGTGGGTGGTTCATACTCCTCCACGAGGGATAACAGGTGCATGTAAGTAACTATATACTCTATATAAGTGAGATGTTTAGTAACGGGAGATATTCGACAGTTAACCACGGGGCTAAGTTATGTGATAGTTGGCACACATCAGTAAAATGTACCTTTAATCTTGAAGAACTAATGCTACTTGATGGATTCCAACCCGTGACATTTACTATCACAGTATATAACATTATCACTGAGTTAGACGGCAATTGAAGGGCCTCCTATATGACTGGTATGCCCAGAAGTAATTTGATCACTGTCGTGCTTGTCTAGTCTTTTAAGCGTTCATCAAATTTTATCAATATTTATTGGATTCCATCTCTTGACTCATGTTTTGTCAACTAATTATAATAAGTAATTGTTACTTCTTAAACTGATTAATTTCCTCTTACATCGAACGATGTAAATTCAATACGGGTATACTTTATCTCATGATACAAAATGCAATAAACCAACAGATTCAGTATTATTCGTAAAGTTAACTTCTGTGTCAGATAACGGACGAACATAAAATTTATGAAAGTCACTTATAAGTAAAATATACGCAAACTATTAGAGATAGGTTCCTATACTAAATAACACTGTTTATCATTCTAAAACACGTGACTTTGGAATCTAGTGTTATTTACAATGTATTTAAACAGGAATGCAAGTGACATCAAGGAATGAATAATGTACAAACAGAGGAGCTGATATGTTAATAGTACAATAAATAAATATTACTCTTGTCAGTCTATTTTATCTGTGTACCAAGGTGATAACGTAACTGCCTAATTTTTTCTAATGTTGAAGGGTAACTAGTAATCGAAACCGCAAATCCTTTTTCAGTTCAGTTTGCTCTTTTCTGATTGACTGCAATACTTTCAGTTCGTTAGTTAAACGTATACTTGAAGATTATGCTTTCGTTACTATAAATACATAGTTGTACTATTTCAAGTTGTTCTTCTGCAATAACGCGTTTCTTCTACATTTTGTCGTCTTTTCGTGTTAGCGACTAATAGTTGAAGTTTTGTGTGGCATCTACCACTATCAAGTCGTTAATAGAACCGTTTGAATTAGGATAGATTAATCGTTTTTTTAATTCCCCAATATTACAGGCCACCTGAAAAGTCCAGAGATATAATCATTTTATTCAAAAGTAGATTATTGGATTTTATGATTTAATTAATTCACATTTTCCTTGCATGCATTCCACTTCTGATTGGTGTCACATACTACTTATACCTGTCAACGTAAGTAGTATACACCATATATGTACGAAAAGATAGGATGAATTAATGACTATATATCGATGAAACAAGTTACGCAAAATAGTCTATAATTTATTAATAAAAGGCATTAAGTCGATTAAAAAAAGACATATTTACAACATATTATGTTACGTATAGACAAATGCAGATCACATGTGTGAATGATGAAGGAATTTCAAGTACTCACCCAAAAATGCAAATATGGTAGTTAGCGTAAACGTCGAGGTGTATTTTTAAGAATTGATTTAATTTAGGTACGCCTAGAATATAACTAACCACTATATATATATATATATATATATATATATATATATATATATATATATATATATATATATATATATATATATATATATATATATATATATATATATATATATATATATATAACTCTTGTATATGGAATTGGAAATAATTCATGTTATCAAGTACCAATATCGAATCATTCTTAAAGAAACTACATTATTTTCTGTTGAACTCATTTACTAAGAAGATGTTTATTTACACAGCTTTGGACCATACTGTTTGTATGAAGACTTGCTGATATAGACAATTCATTTATCAGGTTACAGACTCATGTACTTAACTTCGAGCAACATTCGGTGTGAGGACGATTGGTACTGCGCGGTTGCCTAAAGCAACTTAAGTGTAGGTTTTTTTTTAATGACACTTAGTGACTGAAACTCGAATGCCATAACCATTGAGCTACCGTCCAACTTTTTTGGAGTAAGAAAGACAGTAATACTGATTAGGCTGTCCAAACATAAGTACGTGAAGGGATGCTTTAAACCTACAGTCAACTAACCGAAAGCTTCATGCTCCAACTACTAAGACATCGCACTACAAATACTAATAATAATCACTACTTGAGACATGAAGAATACCATACAATTCGGCATATTTGTGTATAAATAACCAAGAATTCAAAAACAGAACTGCTGAATTCTTGTTTAAAATGAGCATATTACCAAACCATGAAATAAACACTTTTCAGTTAAACAATATAAAAAATAAAGTGACGTGAACTTTTAATACCAACGTTAATCATCACTAATAGCAATAATATTTCCAGTCCATTAAAAAATGTGAAATTTCTATCATCAAATAGATTACGTAAATTTTGTCTGGATTTTTCCCTTGGAGAACTTACTTTTCGAGTTATTTTATCAAATTCAGTTCGACCGAAATTCAGTAGATCATTTAATCCACCAGAACGCCTCGGGATGGAAACATGGTCGATAATATCTTCAAAATCATCTGGTGGAATAAACGCCATATCTGAATTTAAAACTGCTACACGTGATTCGAAAAACTTTAAAAAATTTGAAATATGATGAAGAAAAAGAAGAAAGCATTATTTTTCAATCTTAAAGATTATGTTAAAAATTTGGGGGTAAAAGTTAAATGTTATTCGGTACTCAGATAACATTGTTGCTATAACGGGATAAGTATTAAGCAAAATTAAACCTTTGGAACTGTCCTACATGAAGTAAATGTGTAGATTTTTGTTGTACAATTATCAAATACTTAGATTATTGTACTTTTGTATTCTTCTACTTACAAGCTTTCTCGTGAAGCAAAAACTGTAGTTATGTGGTGTATCATTCTTAAGTTAGTTACTTTGTGACGGACCAATTACTCAGTCTTTTTCCACCAATAGCGTAGTTATGTCGGTATTGTAATTTCTTAATTACGTTGATGTGTGGTCAGGATTTTACTCTACATTGTTGCATGAGCGATTCATAAATTTGAACTGTATGGTTAGAAGTTGTCTACTTGCGGTATTGTGTTCTATTCTAGCTGCTGGGTGAGCAAGTGTGGGAAACTGTTTTTTGGACTAATGGTCATAAAGTATTATTCTTGGACGTCATTTTACTAAAGTCGTATCACTTATTAGCCGAAGGTCATTAGTGATTAGATAAACAATCTAGGTGATCCAATCAATATTCGGACAAGATCAATACAACTGCTCTCCTGTCTCTTACTGTACGACCACGTGGTCCTCAAAAATAAATTAAAAGAAATATGATCGTTTTTATCGTCACATCAATTGTATTACAATAAACAGTGTATTAGAGTACATTTGTGAAAACCGTAATGGGTTAGTCTGTTGTAGTATGTAATCCGCAGGCGATGGAAGATGGTCACGCAATATCGAGAGTTGAAGTTAGACGCGTACACAGTTAAATACCAGCTGAGTGGTGTGGAGGTTAGGCGTTTATCAGATAAACTAAAGTTCACGGGTTCGATCCCTAATGGGGTTGTGAATGCATATTCCTGAAGAGCTCTATGCTAAAACTCAACAGCTGTCCACTTCTTCTTGATTTACAATGTTGATTTAGCTAAGATCAGTTTATGATTCAAACAACAAAAATAATAACAATGATCAAATATCATATGGGCTATGGAATATGAATGGACGTTTAAGAATAGGTTATACGAAGGGGTAATACAGAAGTATAAATGAGAGGGGCATAATCTTGCTCCGTTTCCGAAAATTACTCAGGACTTAGTATATAACTGAAAATCTTCCTGTTTATTCATATAATGTTAATTGTTTATCAAATAGGGAAGAATGAAGCAAATAATGGACACTACAAAGTCTAAGAGTCAACAACTTTGCAGATTGATGTCAAATTTTTGTTTGACTGCTACCAATATTATTCTGGTCTGCTCTTATGTTGGTCAACATTTATCATCAGAGTAGATGGTCGTCTAATTGGTGAGTAATACATCTCTAACCTTTGGTTGATAGTCGAATGACTAAACTACTAAACTCAACGTATGATATATCTCAAAATTACCAGTAATAGACTGATGTGTCTATCTTCATCTGGCTTATTATTACAATCGCTGAACAAGCCTATTTGGCAGTCTTGAAATAACTTTTCATCATAATCCACAAATTCGTCTATAAACAATGAACTGGCACAATTTCAATTGGCTGCGAAATGGATTTGAATGAAATGCTTGTAAAAGGATCCACCGAATACGTTCCAACATGAATTACATAAAAAAAGTTATCTCTTGAAATGATACAGGCATTCAGTTAATCTTATATAACATTATTCATTATGAATAAAATAAACCAACTTCAAAGATACCAGATCCGACTTAAATAAATGAGTAAAATGTCTGTGATAAAAGATATATCTCGACAGGAAATATTTGGACAATCGATTTGAACTTATATTACACCAATAGTATGGCTTTCCGAGAACTGCGACGGAGCCTCCACAGGCTCCAAAGGAGCCGAAGAGTCCTAGCCAATCAGAGCATGGTGGAGCTTTCTAGAATATCAAAGTGGCGTGCTATTATTGATCAGTAGCATAATGTCTTTTAGCGGATTGGCCAAAATATGATGTTAATTTAACAAATGTTAACATCTATAAATACCCGTGTTTTTTGCTGACTTTGCGCCATTTCTCTCGAGTTCAGGTCGCTGCGCAGTTCTAGCTAGTGGGTTACCAGAATAGTTTAGGAACCGAATAAAGCGTTTAAAATAACAAGACTTCTCACGGCTGACTTATTAAAAATGGAGTGCTTAAAACTCAGGACTACTGATTCAATTTAATTATAACAGTTTTGATAGTTGAATAAATTTACGAAAGAAAAGATACAAAATTATATGACTGATTACTAATCGATTTGAGGTAATCAACAAACTGAAAATGATTCCTATTTCTAACTGAACAACAAGAGTCAGCGAATACATTAGTCATTAATTATTCACACTAGAAAATCAAGTATAACATTCAGTATATCAACGAAATAATTCATAAGTATCTATAAAAGTGTTAAGACAAAGGACATAATCAGTCTGTTAGATAAGTAGGTTGTATTATACATAACTGAATGACTGGCATTTTGAATATTAATGATGTCAAATGAACAAACAACCAAACTTACATATGCTTAATGTATTTACACTATCTAGAATATGTGCACATCGATTAATTATATATATATATATATATATATATATATATATATATATATATATATATATATATATATATATATATATATATATATGACTCCTATAAATCATTGTAAGAATAAAGCGGACTAGAAATTAAAACGATGGATTTACACCAAGTACTGACTTGACTAGACAACCATTGATAACTAAGAAGCACTGAACATTTTTTAGTCCAAGCACAAGACTCTGTTTCTTATACCGCTTGGGCAGCATCCATTGTGGTTATTAAGAAGGCTAATGGCACAACCCGAATATGCGCAGATTTTTCCACAGGTCTTAACACAGCTCTCGAACAGCATCATTACCCACTGCTAGTCCCTGCAGATTTGTTGACAATGCTAAATGGTGGGAAGTTCTTTGCAAAGTTGGATCTAGCCAATGCCTATTTACAAGTGGAAGTGGATGAGGAATCCAGAGAGCTACTTACCATCATTACTAATCGTGGCTCGTTTCAGCATAATCGTCTGCCAGTTGGACTTAAAACCGCTCCATCTATTTTTCAGCAACTAATGGATACCATCCTATTGGGTATCCCGGGGGTCGCGACCTATCTTCATGACATCTTAACTGTTGCCACATAGAACAGCTTCAAAAACGCACGACAGCTGTACTACGGTGCATCAGCGACAACGAATTCCGATTACACCCAGGAAAATGCCAGCTTTTCTTGAAGTCAGTAAAGTATTTACGATTCAGGTTGCAGACCAGACCCTGAAAACATTCGAGCAACAAAAGGGATGCCCACTCCTACAAATGTCTCCACTCTCCGATTATTCCTGGGTTTGGTTAGTTACCATTCAGCTTTCGTTCCGTCGAGGCACGACATACGCGCCCCGCTAAATTATCTTCTGAATACTAGCTGGAGATGGACAAAAGAATATGAAGCTGAATTTTGCAAGCTGAAAACAACCATATGCTCTGAACTGTTATTGACGCACGATCCGTCTACGCCAATCATTATAGCTGCAGACGCTTCAGCCTTCGACTCAGTTCTGTCATCTCACACCGGTTCCCGGACGCAACAGAGAAAGCTATCATGCATGCATCTAGCACATTGGCTCCGGTGGAAAGTACAGTCAAATAGAGAAAGAGGCTCTCTCCCTTGTGTAGCTAATTAAAAATAAAATTATCACTTTCACGTCACATAAAGTTATTTGTTGTGAAATGGACGAATATCAAGAGTTATGTGATGGAAAACCCACCATTTCCTGAACACCCTACTTAAGTAAAAAAGATTTTTCTAATAATTTTCGTTTTTAATTTAGAAATAGCTAGTTAATTGGTCTTTGGTCACAAGTCTTTGTTCCGTTCGCAGACTAAGCGAACTCGTAATCGCTTCAAACCTAGTAAATAAAGCTTTTGCTGTGCCTTCCAATGACTCTTAATTCAGGCGCGCTACTGCTGAAATGACGAAAAATTCAATAGGTCTATTCCCTACCCCTAAGCAACGATGAAACATGGAGAAAAGTGTGGACGCACATACATTATTTTTAGGATCCTCTAGAGAATCACTCATTCATGGTGCCTGATGAAGTGGCACGTGAACTATTTCTAAATTAAAAACGAAAATTATTAGAAAAATCTTTTTTACTTAAGTAGGGTGTTTAGGAAATGGTGGGTTTTCCATCACATAACTCTTGATATTCGTCCATTTCACAACAAATAACTTTATGTGACGTGAAAGTGATAATTTTATTTTCAATTAGCTGCACAACAGTTTATTTTCACAAATCGATAAAATTCAACACACGCCCATAATCTTATTTGAGTACACATTATTTCCCTACCTTTCAGTTCTACTGAGTGTCAATGTTTCGGCATCTTCGCCAAATAACAGATATATAGGTGTATATGGAGTATAAACAATCAAACGTTTACCAGATCAACTCACTTGTATCACCATCTGAGAATTTAAAAGTTCTGTAAGATATGGCTGTAATTCATGACCACAAGAAATGACAAATGCAGCACGATCGAAAAACCATCCACCTATACGAGGTTGATCAAATTTATCTTGTGATCGACTTTCGTCATTTGGTGATTGTATTGGTAAAAGATCGACAGATGAAGAAGCTTCATTATGCTGCAGTGCCGATCGATAACGACCTATTTAAGAAAATACAAGGAAGATGTAGTAAATTAATAATCATAGTCAGATTAAAAATTCGCTTACAATAAGAAAGTGGCATCGATTTCCACAAATCTGACTTCAAAACAAACTGTCAGCTGGTAACGATTAGAAATATTGTCTTAACTAACAGACTCAACGAAAATAAACCAATCTTTGCGAACATATGTAATTTTCGGAAAGCTTAGTCAGTCTAAAATTTTAGTGAAAGCTTAATAACATGTATGGAGTAATTTGGTACCTTTTTATGGATATTATCTAAAATAAATGAGGACAGGTTTACAACGTTCTTAGTAACTAGTGGTTTGACAATTGTGAAAACAGTAAATTTATAAAATTAAAAACAAACGAATTGGAACTGAACAACTTTAGTTAGACAATAATGACAGCATATATTACCGTTGATAGAACCGAATACACGCCGATTGTAATACGATGCCTTTTAAAAAGTGTTGGATACACTCTACAGCCTCATGTATTTACCTAGATTTGCGTGCATATGACGGATTGTACAGGCTTCAATCTTGTGGTCACAGATGTGCATGAACAAATCTAATCAAACTCTTGTCACAATTTGACCGAATAGTCCTACAAATGTGTGACTATTTTTGTCTGAAACAAATTGAATTATATAAAAAATATAATCACTGTTTGAATTAAGTAAATATCTAACGCGACTTCTCTAGGAATCGATGCTTTAATAACCTCAAAATAATTGATACAAGTTATGTGGTTATATTGTGGATGAATACAATGAGTGATGTGCTTTTCTAATAGTTGCAGTCTCTTCATTTTTTTGTAAGTAGACTTAATTTACTATGAAATAATTTTTACTTACGAAGCAAAAAATAGTAACCTTACCAAGAAGAATAGCCATTAGTTCTAAGTATGGTCGAGCTAGAAGTAAGGCAGCAGTTGAAGCAACATTCTCTGTTGAGCGTATATGCCGTAAAATTGCACTGTGTGATGCGTTACACCGTTTAATCAACCAATGACGCTGAGAAAATGAGAAAGTATCGAATGAGACAAGGATCATTAACAACAGAAGTTTACAATGTCATTGAATAATCTTGAAACTAATTTTTAAGACTAAAATAATAAATGTGAACGAAAAAACAACAAAAATAAGATTGCATGAGTATAAAAAAGTTACAGCCATCAATGTAATCCTACATTACTTGTAATATCATCGGTAAATTTTCTTGCTTCCATGTCAATATTAGATAAGAATCATGATTTATCATTTAAAAAAATTTAAACTAATTAAAAAGGAAGTAAATGTCTATTTCAAACAATTTCATCTTTCAGGCAATTAGTTCCCTTTATTTAAATTTCATCTTTACAGTACGATACTTACATATTTGATGGTAGTGTCTTGTTGATAAGAATAACTGTAACAAACTTATTATCAACTAAGTTTGAAGCCTGTGTTGATTTAATTGCAGTTATTTGCTTCCTCTGAAGAAGATGCCTACATTAAGTCACGAAACGTTGGAAATATAACTTTTCTATCCATTGTGATATAAAAATAAATAATTCAAACTAACGAATCCAACCTTGTTATTAATGCCTATAAAGTTTTCGGATCTTTTTTGCATGATATTGAAATTAACTCTTTTTCTAATATTGAACTTCCATAGTTAAACGCCTGTGTTAAATTAAGAGATACCCAATGATTTAGCTACACACGTGTTACCGATCTAAGGCAAAAAAGCAATAACATATAAGTTTCTCCTCGACTTTTACCTATTGGAATGAAAGTTTCTGAACACCACATATATAAACTATGGATTGATATATATGAAGCTATTGGCTGAAGTAGGTACAGACTCCGTGGTGAGGTTCCGCAAAATAGTCATTATATATGACTGAGGACCAGTAACAACGTTCATTTTCACGAACTTTCAGATAAATCAGTTTGTCTGAACAGTAAAGTACTCTTCAGGTGATTTAGTTAGTATGTGAGAACCCCTAACTAATGGTTGGAGATGTTTAGCGATATGATTTAAAATCGAGGTATAGACTTGTTTACTACGCATATTTTCTAAATTTTCGAATATTGCATATTTATTCTGTCTTCATCCCTTGATTTTATCTGTTTCTTTAACTTAAGTTCCCTACTGATTCCTCAATTGATGTTTTCAATTCTTTTTATTTCTCATGCTGACTTTTTCTTGATAAAATGATGTGAAATGTGAAAGCTGAAACCGACGTGCTTTCCTGTTAGGTCCTAGTTAAACCTAAAAATTATATCAATGAACGTACTCATCTCATAAGCATTAAAAGGATTTCAAACACTCCACGCAATGTGCTAAAAATAAACTATACTTTACCAAGATTCGCATCCAATAAACATTTTTTTATCTGCCTGCTTTTAAGTAGACCAAAACGCTTCCGCGCATTAGATCAATTATCTGATGAATCCATGTGAATTTTATAGTTAGGTATAATATGTCAAAATGACTATTTTTAGTGCAAATAGATGACAACTAATATTTAGAAACACCGGTATAAAATATTAAACATACTAAAACAGATGGCATGGTTATTCCAACATCCCCTGTTCCATATACAACATCATGATCCAAATCGACAAGTCGAACTCCAGGAATTAACAATGGTTTCATTTTCTATACAAATAAAAAGCAGAACTTTTAAAAAAATCAAAGACCTACATTGAAACCATGAACTGATCAGTGTTAGACTACATTTAGAAACTTGGAAGCACTGGACGGCCGTTTCGTCCTAGTGTGGGACTCGCCAGCATTGCGCATCTATGATCCCGCATACGGGGTTAGGACCTGGGACCTTCGGTTTCGAGTGCGAACGCCTAACCTCTGGATCATTGAGCTGGCGTTCAAGTGTGTTAATCCCTAACTTCACTCAATCCAAGGTATTGCACGACTATTTTCTGTTGTCTTTAGTGGGTAATTGCCTAACACCCGACAGGGTTGAATACCATTGGTCTCGGCTTCTAACTATAAATCCGAGAATCACTTCTCGAAGCTAGTCACTAGTGAGCACATGATATCTTTCAGTATGGCGTTGTGAAGATTGTTGAATTTCATTGAAATCAGTTCAGTGCTTCTGGGTTTGCAATGGTAGTCTAACATTGGTCGGTTCGTGGTTTCAATGGAATTCAACAATCTTTACGACCCCTTGCTGACAATCGGGCATATAATCGAAAAGACAGAATTAAACAAACCTCTTTTAAACATGAGTGAACACCAGCAACAAATGGGGTCGGACAGCTTCATAAGAAAAAAGATCTAGATTCCAAGTGTTTACGTTACTCACTTACCCAACATATTCAATACAATTGGAAGGTAGCAGAGAATAAATTAAATGAGGCCTGATTATATGTAAGGAAAAACAAGTTAGTTGGAATTAAAAATACCATATAAGTGGGTACAACAAACTTAGACTGGCCAAAAGACAGGAAGTAATACGCTGTAAACGACTTGAGTAGAATATTACACTTTTCTCCAAAATCAAGCTAGATGTAGGAAGTAACAGAAATTTTTTTATTAATTAACCAAACTATACAATGTCTCACCTTTCAAATATTACAATCCAATTGCCGATAGACAATGTATTATAATACTCTAAAATGTGTCTCTAAAATTTCACGAAATAATGACAATCATCAGTTACGTGATAAACAAATTGAAACTGTGCTTCCGGGAGTTGTATACTTAATTTCTGTTTGGATAAATTGGTTTAAAAGATAGAATGTGAGCAGTACCGTCGAATTCGGAGGTGATGAAATGTTAAGTGTAGCAACGCCAGAATGATAATGCAATTCCTTTAAAATTACTTCAATATTACGTCGGTTTTCTCCTCTGTATAAATGTTCTTGATTAATCAGAGTTATGATTGAGTGCAAAAGTTCAAAGTAAGGAAAATAACTAAAATTATCACAAAAAATTTAGACTATATAAATAAGTGTGATGAAAATATTACCTACTAACACACACAATATATCCGGAAATAGGTAAAGTGATACAGGCAAAAAATTCTACAGTTCCATCGCTATCCGTGAATATAAGTGTATACTCTTCCGAAATAAGACTGTTAAAACAACTTAACTATGGAAGGTAAATATAACTGACCTTTTATGCTTACATGGAAGAACAAAATTTCGCAGCTTATGAAAGTGAGAATTTTCGTTCTTAACAGATGGATAGACATATTCAACTACAGGATCTAAAAATTGTCGAACAAATTATTCGGTAACCAACCACCGTTTGTACTATCCAAATGGAAAATGACAATATGTTCTATTAGTTTATTAGTTTTTCTGAAAGCGGAGGAATGTGTAATGAAATACTCACAAATAATAGATTACCTTAAACGATTCCAAAACATATTCGGTATGTAGTTTTACATCGAATAAGCCATTATTACAATTCAAGTTGCTAATATAAAACAAAAACAGAACACAACATTCATAGACAGAGGAAAAATGAAGACACAAAAATCCTTGAAAAAAATATCAACAAGCAATGAAATTGTGGCTAATTTTATCACAGTAAAAGACATAGAAAAGTCCTGTCAAGCCCGGTTAGAAAAGGATAGTGTTGTGTTCAATGCACCTGATATTATATCACGTGGTTAGATTGTATAATAACCAGTAGGCCAAATGAAATCTTATAATGAGAAAAATATAAATATGTATGATCTAGTTACTTAAGCCATACAATAAGAATAAATATATAAAAACAGTTCATAAGTAGTTTTTAACAGTAACCGTTTATTTAATCTTCGTTAGGATATAACAGATGATGATAACGCTTTAGTAGTTACATTGGCTGAGATGTTTGCTTGAACTTGGGATCTTAAAGCAACGCTGTCAGGTAAATCGTGATCACTATTTGTCTCAGTTTGTAAGAAGGAACAAAAATTTCTTTGTGATAAATAGAGCCATAGGTTAGACAGTAAAAAAAAGCATCTGAAGTTACTCAATACTTAATCAGAGTCCATGGAGATCGAAATCGGAAATATCATGGGGGTTTCAGGTATGAAGGTAAATACAAAAGTAAAAAAATAAGCCATTTGTTAGATATCGGAACACAAATGTGCTTACAGACTTTGGAAATTGGGTACCCGTGGGTACTGTTCCTTGCAATTAAACAGTAGGCCAACGGTGGTTTTAAAAAGAGCGAAGAAAATATGACTGAGTATTTCCAGTATTATTAGTCATAGACTTTCAATGACCTTCATGGATATAAACGATAATTAGACAGAATGTGTAATGACATGGAACACCACAATATGTATTTAGCAAGCCGTGAGCCAAGAGTTAGTAGGATAATAGCAAAACTAAAAAGCTTTATACTTATTTACAAATTACTACTTTGATTGATTATTAACATAAGCAGTTCATTGACAACACGTCCTAGAGAACATTTTGTCATTGTAACGTAAGGCCCAGATTTTGCGCCATAACATAACAATAACTACAGCTTACGATTAAACAGTTGCTTAGACTCAATCCATGCATAAAATGTTTCTATGTTAGTCCATTTGTACTTCATAATCGTTAACATCAAGGGTTGATGACACTTCGACGCGCGCTATTAAAAAGAACAGTACATTTCATAGTATTGATCGCTAAATTCTACATCATGATTAGAGTTTTTGCTTTAATTGAATTTATTTTATTTAAAATAATCCTCGAGAGTTTCAATTTTTTCGAGAGAACTTCATCATTTATACCTCACAAGTACAGATATAAAAAAAACGAAGTGCACCCTGACAGCACGGTTTCAGGAAGGGTTACACTTGTATTACCAACCTGCTGACTGCGGCGAATAGATGGACAAGCATCCTCGATCACAAGGGGAAGGTTGATATCGTCTACCTAGATTTCTCAAAAGCTTTTGATAAGGTTAACCATACATGTCATATCATTAAGCTCAAACGATTCGGTATCATACCACCTCTGATCAATTGGCTCACTTCATACATAAACAATCGACATTTTAAGGTCAGGGTTAATTTAACTTTATCTCAGGCTATGGAATGTCATGGTGTGGTCCACCAGGGTTCAGTACTAGGACCTATTCTCTTCTTGATCTACATAAATGATCTTCCTCAACAGGTAATGTCAGACCTATTACTTTTCGCCGATGACGTGAAACTTTGGAGAGAGATGCACAAACAAGACGATATACAGGCACTTCAGGAGGCTCTGATTCGACTTCAATGTTGGGCAGACGATAACGGACTTACCTTCAACACTTCAAAGTGTAAAGTAGTCCATCTGCGACATGTCGCAGACTACAGTTATAACTTACGAAACTCCTCTCTAGTAGTATTGTAACAGCATAGGTTGTTTGGTTAAGAGTTGACCCCAAACAACCAAGCATATGCCAAAAGAGTATTGTTCAAGTACTCATTCACTTCCTTATTTTGTATAAGCGTTATATTCCGTATTATCTTATATTGAATGTTGAAAGCCTCTTGTTTGCCTGAACAGATAATCCCACGCTCCACTGTGACTGCGCTAAGATCGAAATAAAGACCTATTCACTTCTTGTCTGGCTTCTTCTATCAATAGCACGAGGGTTACCTATAGGCACGAAACTGGTGAGCCCTCTTTGAACACAAATTAACCTCATTTTTGTTATTAATATTATTTTTTTTACTCAATCGTAAAAGTAGACCTGATTATCCGTAAACTAAGTTGGGTATATGTATAGTTTATTTTTTTAATATCTTAAGTTATTCGTGTCATAGAAACCATTTTTTCGTGCTAATTTTATTGCTATATTTGTCACATATCTCATGTCAGACTTAAAAGAAACCCATAATCTGGAGGATTTGTCACCAGTGGAGATAGACACTGTTATGACTACGAAATCTCGACTTCCAGAATTTGATCGCAGTGATCCTGAGTTGTGGTTTGCTCAACTCGAGCATTATTTCACGAGACACAATATCAAATCTGAAGGGATTCGCTATAGAGATTTGTGTTCTATCCTTCCTCCTTCAGTCGCCAAAGAAGTCTGTGACTTGATTTTAGATCCACCATCACCACAACCGTACACCATCTTAAGACGAGAGATAATGAACCGTTTATCATTATCAGATAGTCAAAGAATCCAAAGACATTTTCATGGTGAAACACTAGGTGATCGGTCGCCGTCACAGTTTCTACGTCACCTCCAAGTCTTAGTGGGTGATAACACAGTGGGTGAAGCAGTCCTAAAACAAGGATGGATACAAGCTCTCCCATGCTACGTCCAACACTGTTTGGATGCACAAGATCCTAAAACCTCATTATCTCATTTAGCGCGTATAGCTGATAGAATAATGGAAAGAGGTCCTCCAACTGGATCTGGCACAATAAATCACACACAAAAAGTAGAATCAGCAAAAGATCCCGTCATAGAAGGACTCATTGCAAGCGTTAAGAGTCTCACTGAGGCTGTCACCAGAATGCAAATGGGTCATACAAACAGGAGCAGGTCACCACAACGATCACGATCTAAGTCACAAATGTCCAGACAATCTGGGCAGTTTTGTTGGTACCACTGGAAGTTTGGTGTCAACTCAACCAAGTGCAGGCAACCATGCGCCTGGCCTAAGCATAATTCCAAGACAGCGGGAAACGAGTAACCCCTCCCCAGGTCGCGACAACTGAGGAGGGGCGCCTAAACAGTCGCTTGTTTTATGTCAGAGACAGAAACTCGGGCTTGAATTTCTTGGTGGATACTGGCGCTGCTCTCAGCATCATCCCTTGAAATAAAACTGAGATTAGTCGAGAAACATCCCCGATTACACTTCAAGCTGCAAATAAAACTACAATCGCGACATTTGGGCAGAAAACGTTAACCCTAGATTTGGGGTTCAGAAGGCAATTCCCTTGGGTTTTCACGGTAGCCGACTTAGATCTGGCAATACTGGGGATGGACTTTCTAGAGAGATACGAATTTCTGGTTGACACCAAAAAACGGCGATTAACACTAAAAGAAACTTCGTTTTACACAAAAGGCAAAGAAAGTCGCATCAGCTCTCTTAACTTGATTCAAACCCCTCCAGTAACAACAGCGAAATTTCAAGATATACTAGCGGAATTTCCAAACTTAACTAAACCAAACCCACAGCCTTTCAAAGACAAACTAAAAGTAAGTCACACTATCAAGACCGAAGGTGCACCGGTGTTTGCAAAACCCAGGAGACTAGCACCAGATAATCTCAAAATCGCTAGGGCCGAGTTTGATTATATGCTACAACTGGGTATTATCCGTCCCTCTGATAGTCAATGGGCATCCCCTTTGCATATGGTCCCAAAGAAGAATGAAGGTGACTGGTAACCGTGCGGGGATTACGGAGCTCTCAACCGTCAAACCGTACCAGATAGGTACCCAATACCGCATATCCAAGATTTCACAAACGGTTTACAGGGTATGAACATATTCACTAAAATTGACTTAATCAGGGCATATCACAATATCCCGGTGGCTGATGAAGATATCCCCAAGACAGCTATTACAACACCCTTTGGCTTATTCGAGATTGTACGCATGCCATTCGGCCTGAGAAACGCGGCATTTCCTCAGATATTCTTATTTCACAGTCTCACTCTTTCTCTTGGAAGCACGCAGCAAACCCTCAGCGATAGTTGTAGAAAAAATCACATGCTACAAAATGAGATGACAAGCTGGTAATTGAATAGACATCCATGGACTGTCGTTGACAGCTGACAGCGTTAGTTGCCACTGATTGTAAGTCAAACATTGAGCGAGTTAATAATTTTTCTTGGGATGAAAAATAGAACTAAGTTGTTTTTGATAGATAGATTAATCGAACCGACGTTCCTACGGAAGTCGATTCTAGGGGGAAGCTAATGTAACAGCATAGGTTGTTTGGTTAAGAGTTGACCCCAAACAACCAAGCATATGCCAAAAGAGTATTGTTCAAGTACTCATTCACTTCCTTATTTTGTATAAGCGTTATATTCCGTATTATCTTATATTGAATGTTGAAAGCCTCTTGTTTGCCTGAACAGATAATCCCACGCTCCACTGTGACTGCGCTAAGATCGAAATAAAGACCTATTCACTTCTTGTCTGGCTTCTTCTATCAATAGCACGAGGGTTACCTATAGGCACGAAACTGGTGAGCCCTCTTTGAACACAAATTAACCTCATTTTTGTTATTAATATTATTTTTTTTACTCAATCGTAAAAGTAGACCTGATTATCCGTAAACTAAGTTGGGTATATGTATAGTTTATTTTTTTAATATCTTAAGTTATTCGTGTCATAGAAACCATTTTTTCGTGCTAATTTTATTGCTATATTTGTCACATATCTCATGTCAGACTTAAAAGAAACCCATAATCTGGAGGATTTGTCACCAGTGGAGATAGACACTGTTATGACTACGAAATCTCGACTTCCAGAATTTGATCGCAGTGATCCTGAGTTGTGGTTTGCTCAACTCGAGCATTATTTCACGAGACACAATATCAAATCTGAAGGGATTCGCTATAGAGATTTGTGTTCTATCCTTCCTCCTTCAGTCGCCAAAGAAGTCTGTGACTTGATTTTAGATCCACCATCACCACAACCGTACACCATCTTAAGACGAGAGATAATGAACCGTTTATCATTATCAGATAGTCAAAGAATCCAAAGACATTTTCATGGTGAAACACTAGGTGATCGGTCGCCGTCACAGTTTCTACGTCACCTCCAAGTCTTAGTGGGTGATAACACAGTGGGTGAAGCAGTCCTAAAACAAGGATGGATACAAGCTCTCCCATGCTACGTCCAACACTGTTTGGATGCACAAGATCCTAAAACCTCATTATCTCATTTAGCGCGTATAGCTGATAGAATAATGGAAAGAGGTCCTCCAACTGGATCTGGCACAATAAATCACACACAAAAAGTAGAATCAGCAAAAGATCCCGTCATAGAAGGACTCATTGCAAGCGTTAAGAGTCTCACTGAGGCTGTCACCAGAATGCAAATGGGTCATACAAACAGGAGCAGGTCACCACAACGATCACGATCTAAGTCACAAATGTCCAGACAATCTGGGCAGTTTTGTTGGTACCACTGGAAGTTTGGTGTCAACTCAACCAAGTGCAGGCAACCATGCGCCTGGCCTAAGCATAATTCCAAGACAGCGGGAAACGAGTAACCCCTCCCCAGGTCGCGACAACTGAGGAGGGGCGCCTAAACAGTCGCTTGTTTTATGTCAGAGACAGAAACTCGGGCTTGAATTTCTTGGTGGATACTGGCGCTGCTCTCAGCATCATCCCTTGAAATAAAACTGAGATTAGTCGAGAAACATCCCCGATTACACTTCAAGCTGCAAATAAAACTACAATCGCGACATTTGGGCAGAAAACGTTAACCCTAGATTTGGGGTTCAGAAGGCAATTCCCTTGGGTTTTCACGGTAGCCGACTTAGATCTGGCAATACTGGGGATGGACTTTCTAG